TCCTGGCACTGCAGGCAAGCCACGAGGAGGGGATGGCGTAGAGGGGGTTCCTTCATCCCCAAACCCATTTGCCCAAAGTTTGTTCTTGGTCAATTTAAAGGGACAAAAGGTGTCCCTGCGCTGCTGCTGGGGACCATGACCGTGCCATTGGCACCTGGAGCAGGACTGGCACAGAGGGATATGCCGCTCTTGCACTGATGGTGGATGTTTTAGTCCCTGGGGGTCCCTGGCAGCCCTGCGTGGGGGGGAGCTGCTGCAGCCCCAGCCTTGCACAACCCCGTGGGCTGATGCTGCCCCGGCCATGTCCTGTGGGGACTGCAACCGCCCTGCAGCGCTGGGGAGACCAGACTGGGAAACAAAAACACAGCCTGGGCGACACTGGGCTACACCGACCTGGCAGCTGAGTGGGAGGTGGGGAGCCTGGACTGGGTCCCTCCAGTGCAAGCCCTGCCAGCCAGGGTGGGCAAGCTGGGATAGAGGGGAATGACCCACTGCCCGCTTGTGCTGTACTGGGAACCACTGGGGTGAGGTGGGGGGGAAGTGAAGCCATGCTGTGGGGGTGCTTAGGGGCACCACCCCCCCCCCACCTCCACGATGCACTGAAGGGGACGTGGGACCTGATCCACACTTACCTGGGGACCCCACTGCAGAGGTCTGGGGCTCCAGCGTGGGAACAGCCAATGTGGCAGAGAGCAGAGATGGGCTCAGGGCAGCACAGCCCACCTGCGGCTGTGGGGGCTTCATTAACCAGATAATTAACCAGCCATCAGCCCAGCACCAGCTGGAGCCCAGCCTGGGGGCTGGCAGCTGTATGGCACTGTGACACAGATGTGTCACACCAGGGCTGAGGTGGGTGCCACCGAAGGGTGCCAGGGACAGCACGGGGACGCCGTGCTCTGCCCCGCTGTTGCAGGCTGTCCCTGCCACCCCGCAGCTCTACCTGCCCAATGTCCCCATCCCCACCCCGATGCCCCTAACCCCACGGGGCGACGGTGGCCCTGCCAGACCCCGCAGCGTCGCCTGCCCACACGCAGGAGGCATGCCGGGTTTATTAACCATATTTATTTCTGTA